TTAATAAATAGTCCCTTCCCTTCCTAGTCCCAAGGAAGAGCTCTTTCCTACATGGGAATGCAGCTTTCTGTGTCACAAGCAGAACATCCGAAATTAGCCGAGGGGTTTGAAGTCTTTGCCAGCAGTGCTCAAACAGCATTACCTCCTGGCAGGGTGCCCCTGGGCCCTCTCTGTCCCTGTTGGGGAGCCACAGCTGGCAGTGGCTGTTAACCCTTGAGGCCATCACCCGATACCCCAGACAACACAGAAAGTGATGGGGAGCTTTGGAGCCATCCCTGCCCAGTGTGCCTTGGGGAGAATTGCAACCAGGCTGAAGGCTGTGTGGAAAAGCTGACAGCTCCTGATGTTTTGGAGAGGAGTCCACAGACATGCCAGGTCCCATGAGGCCACACCAGAGCTACATATTCCTGCTGCAGTTGCAGAGACCTGAGAGGAGAAGGAGGCTTGTGCTGTACCAAGTGCTTTAGAGATACAGCACATGCAAATAGTGCAGGGAATTTGTCATCCCGGAAGAGTTTAGCATCCAGGAGGAACTTATAAGTACTGCTGGGATCTCAGCTCCACTTGGCTTTTTTTCTTAAGGACAATGACTCCCCACAAGCAACATAACTTGAGTTATTAAGTATGTCCTTAACAACAATTAGAGATTGAAGGAGCAGTGGGAATACCTTTGCAAGGATCTAGTTGGGATCCCTGCTCTCCAGTTGCCTTGGCTCAATCACTGTGCCTGTCTGCCTTGAGGGAGAGAGTCCCCATCTGGGACTCTTTCCTTGACTCCTGGGCTCAGTAGGACACAAGGGCTGACTGCCATGTGCAGTTTCCCTCCCTGCTTTTTCTCTTTTTCTTGATTTCTGTTCAATAATACTAAATATTATCTCATCCCAGGAACTGATTTCATCCCACGCTTGACTTCACATCTCAGGCCCAGGAGAACCTCTGCTTGTCTCAGAGCTCATCAGAAATCCATGATTCTCTCGGATGCCTAATAACAAAACGTCTGCCTCCATCTTGTTCCCTGACCAGACATTTCCTCATGCATAGAGGTGAAATCCTCCCTCCAAAATGCATCTTTACGAAATAAACTTCCAATGCCACTAACTCCTAAACCCTCTGTGCCACTGTTTCCCCCAGCCTTGGTGTCCTCCTCTGATGTCTCCTTCTTTCACTGCCATAGTCACAGAGGGCTAGTGGAGGTGTTGGCCCCACACTGCCAGAAAGGCAGGTGGGCTGACATACACCCTTCTCAGTCCCACTCCTGTCTCCTTTTTCCACTCTCATCACAGTGACAGGTTGATCTGGTATGGGTGGGCTGGGAGACAGCAGCACAGACAGGAGACCCAGACAGCCCATTCAGGAGCACAGCTGTAGGGCAAGAAGCAAGAAGATTCCTGAAGAGTGTCAAAGCTGCAGGGGAACTGCAACCACAACTGGGAAACACAAGTGAACTTGCATAAATCATTCCACATGCCACATTTATTCCTCCAGTGCTCATAGAAATGGCAGAGCCCAGCTACCCTTTGGAGTTTATTGGATTGCTGCTGGGCTAACGAGATTCATGGAAAAATTAAAAATTGATCAGATGACCTAAAAACATTGTATTCTGGTGAAAAAAAAAAAAAAGTTGGTTTCAAGTAATTTTGCAAGTTGGAAAAGTATTTTTTTGAACCGTACTTGAGGTCGTTGAACACGTATTGTTTTGCAGCTGGAGCAGGGTGACAGGCAGTCACTGCACTCTTGAAATGGAAGTGAAACACTTCAGTCGCGCTCACTGGAATCTTTCTTCGGGTTTACAGCTGGAAAAATGGTTCTGTGATTGTGTCTTTTCATGGCAACTCATGACAGATTTATTATTCTTTTCTTTGATACCCTGGCAAATTTCACAGGGAAAGAAAACCACACTCTGCCGAGCTCTGGCTACACGCGCTTGGGGGCTAGACATTGTTTGGCAGGGAGGGCTGCAGTGTGTACAGCTAAAACAAGGGCTACCCCAAGCCCAGTTGTGTAATTGCCTGTTTAACACAAACAGTCCTATTAACAGTCAACACTCAGAGCAACTGTAGCTGCTCCAGTCCCCAGCAATGACATCTTGGAGTCTGGATGCAAGCGTCCCCACCAGGCACTGCCTACCTACACCAGGGTCTGGATCTACTGCTGGTTTTGCAAAGCAGAGCCAGCATGGGGTCCCCTTCAGCAGCCCATGCAGAGGCAGAGCATCATTTAGGTTGCTCTGTGGGCACTGGACCATCTCTAGGAGACTTAGGGGCTGATCCTACCCATACAGAGCAGCTGGACACCAGGAAGGCTATGAAATGGTATCACCTTCCTCTGTTTGGGCAACAACAGTATAACACTATACTGTCTTCATTTGCTTAAAAAGAAAACTCTATCTGAATGTTACTGGGAGAGTGAGATAATGGCTGTGTTCATATCCTTTCCTGCAGAGCTTGTTGCCACTGCTGAGGCAGTTGGGTCTGGGGGATGGACCTCATCTCTCTCCTGACATTGAGCACCATGAGCAAACCGGACACTTAATGTTAAACCTCTAAATTCAGACCAAAGCTCTTATGTAGTCCCAGCACATATCATCCCTAGTCTCAACCAGGGATTAAACTCTGGCAAGAGGTTTCAGTGGTTGACAGCTTGCTCTCCCACACACAGTGAGCCAAGGTTGGCTTAGGAGGACAGGCAAAGGTTTGCAAAGTGCCTTGGGGTGAGAAGCACCAGCAGACTTGGTGTGTCCCCTACAATGGCCACAGGCCTCTGCGGTGAGGAGGTGGATGTCCCTGGAGCAAGCTGTAGGACCTGTACCCATCATGATTTTGACAAGGATTTACAACCATGATTTACAACAGGGATTGCCTCTGGTAGAAAAACTGGGCATTATTAGCAATACAGTAAAAAAACCCTGGAAGTCTCTGAGCATCAGGGCAGGGCACAAGAGAGTCAGGGTTCTGGGTACTTCGAAGAGGTCTTTTCCTGTGGGGTCAGGTGCCTTTTGAAAATTAAGGCATTGACTTTCATTTGCCTCTAATCCTGAGTGACTTGCTTGGGGTCAATTTTGGTTTGATCTGCTGGAAGGGACAGGCAAGTTGGGACTTGCTCTGTTCAGTCTTACTCATCTGGCATCTCGCTATCGCACTTCTCTCCTGGCCGGACCAGCTGTTCCCTACAATCAGTCCCACTGAGATAGTAAAACGAGCTAAATGTGCTGTTCCCAGTGTGTCCTTCCAGCCCACAAACAACCTTATGCCTTCCACGAGTCATGGAGGGAAGTCCCTGAGCAGGATGCAGATTCCCCTTGGGGCCTCTGAGACATGTGGGGAATTATCAAATGCAGAAATGAAGTTTTCAAAACTTATCCTCATCACTGGGTATCAGTGCAGACCCAACTGTAAGGAAACCAAACCTCACCGTGGTATGGATGTGCTGTCTGGAGTCTGTCTTGCCTTTTGTCCTACTCTGCCCCTCACTTTCCCAGAAGGTGAAGGATGTCTGGACCAGGTGGCCTTCTGTGACAGCACACCAGTCACTAAACTCTCACCTACAGAGAGGAAAGGAAACCTGTGAGAAACCCAAAGAGAGCAGATTTCCATCTTCTCCCTACAGGAGGGGGAAGAAAAGTGTGTCCAGGCATGATCCTCCAGCCCAGGCTGCCTTGTTCCAGGGATGTTGCACAGGATTTTGCACTGAGCAAAGACCAAGCAAAAGCCTTGCAGGACATATTGTGCTCCACTTTCTTCCCTGTCCACAGCACCAGAAGCGGCTAAAACCACAAGGAAGCTAAAAGGCAAAGATGCAGGTTGTGCCCTCTCCTGGGAAGCCTCCTGGAGAAGATGGGCCATGGCAATGCCACTGGGAACCAAGGAAGGAATACACTGCAAATCACAGTGGTTTCAAAAAGAGGTTGAGGTTTCAGATTAGTCTTGGCTAGAAATTCCTGCAGAAGGGCTGTGCTGACTCAGCCTCTCTATGATGTGACTACAAAAGCACCAAACAAAAGGCCACATCATGGATGTAGCTGCATCTGCTTTGATGATTTTGCCAGCACAACTGCAGTGATGAGGAGAGGGACTTTTTCCTCAGTCTTAACCTAAGCTCGTCAGTCTAGTCTTATGCTCTAAATTAAAAGAAGGTTTGTGGTTAAAGTTGAAGGAATTTGCCTTGTTTAGTCTAGAAAAGGAGGCTAAAATGCCAAAAGATAATAATCTTCCAACATATAAAATGTTGCTGTAAAGCTAGAGGTGGTCAGTTGTTGTCCCTCAGCTCCTGACAGAAGGAAAAGATGTAATTGGAGTAATATCCAGCAAAAGTGACTCAAGTTAGACATGACAAGTAACTAGAAAAAGATTTAAACACCAGACAATAAAACTGGAGATTAAGTTACTGAAAAAAGCTGCAGACTCCCCATCTCCAAAGGTTTTTAATAAAAGATGAGACTGACTTTGACCAGGAGTAGTATGGAAATACTTGTTCCTTACTTGGCAAAGGAAGTCTCCATAACTTCTAGCCTTATTTCAGCCAGAAGTGCTGTTTTAGGGGTTGAACATGGGCAAAGAGATGGACAAAATTAAAAGATAAAGTTACTTTCTTTCTAAAGTTACAGTGATTGGGAAATCACTGCCCACAAGAGCAAATCACTCTGTGAAATGTTGCATCCCAACATTTCATGCTCTGCTTAGTTCCCATCTCCTGTGTTGCAATTATGTGTATTGGTCAGTCCCTCACCCTGCCTTTTTGTCCTCTCCTCTTTCCTAAGCCCTGGCCATGCTTTCCCAAGGATCAGGGCTGCTACATGTTATTTAATAGGTATTTTTAGCACACGTATCTCTATGGCATCTCCTTCTACCTAACAAAGCTGAAGTCAGGACCTGGTCCTGCTGCGATATGAACCTGTGGTTCTCAAGAGGGGGGGCATGAGCTGCTGAGCTGCGCTTTCCAGACTACACAGACTACTGAAACTTCAGAGCCAGTGATTTATTGATGCTTCCTGAAGCCTGCAGATATGGCAGTGACCTCGTGTTGGAGGCAGGGGCCAGCTGACTTTTCAAGGTGCTCATGCTCAAAACAGGTGGATGAAATTCCTCCTCATCCCAGCAGGAATAACTGTAAGCATTGAGCCTGTTTCAAAGTGGCGTCCAATGACCTCCTGGTAGCCAAGTGCTGAACCAGCTGAAAAGGTCAATAGCATATCAGCCAGAACAGCTGGATCTAATAGAAAATGAGTCAAGATGATACATAGCTGGCATTGCAGGAATAACAGATGTCATCTGGGTTGATTGTACCAGCGTGTTGATGTGCTAAAACAACTGAAAAGAGACTCACATGACCACAGCATACCACCCTCTTCCCATCCACTGAAACTGAGATGACCCACAGATGTTACACACAGATTTTCTGGTGACCAGATTTCCACACACAACAGATACAAGGCAGATCTCACGGCAAAGCATGGTCTTGGGAAGGGCCGTTTGCAACGAGGGATATGGAGATGGAGCAACTAGCAAGGCAATGAATATAACCCACAGTTTTGATTTATATTAGGACTCTGCAGTTTTCAGTCCCAAACAACACCACTGCTGCCATCTTGGACCAGGCATGCCCAAACCTCACATTTGCCATTTCACCTACTCTGCTGCAGTTGAAGAGAGGATGATATTTGCAGCTTTAAAAATAATAATAGTAATAAAAAGCAGCTGCTTAGCTTAGAGCATCTTTTATTGCCCAAATTAAAGGAGGCTCATGGGGGAAAGATGAGGAATCAGGTTGCAGGGAGTGGGGCTGTGGGCACTGCAATGCTGCACTGGCAGCATCTTGCTACCAGAGCTGTAAAAGGGATTAAGTTAACAAATATAAAAAGAAAAAGAAGGCTAAAATAGGAGACTAAAATAAGAATCAGAATCCCTCTGGTAAACTGCTGAGGTTTGCTCCCCGCTGTAGAGAGCCAGTTGTGCTGGGGGGAGTGAGCTATTTTCTAGAGATGTGCTGGAAATAGCACGGGGTAGTCAGGGAGCAGCAGAGGGTGAGCATCAGCAAGGGACCCTGTGGACCACCAAAAGCTTTCCCATTAGGTTGGGCATGCCAGTGTATACTGGGAGGATGCAGCAGAGACCAGGCAGGATGGGAAGAGATGGGATAAGGAAGGCAGTGGGCTCAGTGCTGCTGCTTCAAGGCTCCACTCTCAGCAAAACCACCATGCTTCAGAGCAAGGAACCGAGTCCTGAGCCTTGGTGTGCCTCTCAGGGAGACACAGCTGAGTGCAGGGGGGTGCTGGCCCAAAAGCAAGGGGCTTCTTGCAGCCCTGTGTCTGATGGCACTACCCCAGCACCACCTCCCAGCCACTCCGGCCCCCCAGCATGCAGACGGTGATGAGCAGCCAGTTGTCTGGTAAAGCAATTACTGCCAGGCCCAACGTGCTGCTGCTAGTGCAGAAATTGAATTTTGAAGCAGTCAGCAGCAATTCCCCAGGGAGCACCAGCGGGTGGATAGGGAACAGCAGGAAGGAGGTTTCTCTTACCAGGCTTCAATCCTCAGTTGGATGTGCTGAAATTAGACACTAAGCCTTGAACTCAAATCCTCTGATCTTCCCTTTTGTGTTCAGCACTGCTCTTGGTTTTTCCCTTATAAAACCTGTTTGTTGAAGCCACACAAGATACCTCCTTGGTATCTCAATCATTTGTGCTGAATTTTGAGATGACTCTGCCTCTTGCAGAGGGCATGGCAGGAAGGTGCTGGACATCAGGTAAGTCAGAAAAAACCATGAAGGAGACTGGGGCTAAGAAAATATGCTAAGTAAAAAATGCTTTCCCATGTGGTAGAAAGGGGTCACAAAAGAAAAAAGCATCAAACTTAATTCCCTGGTTAAATCATTGTTAAATCTGAGAAATCACTACCAAACCCCAGAGTTTTATTTTGCTACATTTTTTTTCTCCCAGGGTCTGCAGACTGGCACGTAGAGCACTACCTTGTAAATGAGTAACCATTCCTTATGGAGGTATTTACAATAGAGACATATGAAGAAGTGCTGGTTGCTAGAAGGGTTTTGATGAGATCAAATGAAGCAGATGATTTCAAGCCTTGTGCCTGTCTGGATGAGAACACCAGGAGGAGGATGGCACAGGAAAGCCTTTGTGTGTCTCAAAGAGGGAGGGCAGGAAGGGAGGGAGACACGGAGTTTCCATACTGTGCCCTTTCCTGTGGGCAGTAGGTTACATGTGGTGCTTGTCCTGGTGATGCACTGTAAAAATCCTTAGGGTAGACCTTTTCTGGCCCTTCAGTATGTTTGCCACTGAGCCTTCCTGAGTGTTGGTCCCTCAGTGTAAGAAAGCACATGGTCAAGTCTGGGAAATAAAATCCCTGAGTGTCTCACCTGCTCTAAAGCTCCGTGTTTCCAAAGCTCAGCGGGGACTGTAAGCAGATGAGGTGAGCCCACACCAGGTCCCAGACTCACGTTAGGACTGTGTAGTTTTTTCTGTGGCTACAGCACCCTCCTTTGTAATAAACATGGGTAGAGCCCTCCCCAGATCTTCGTTCACGAAGCCTAGCCATGATGATGACAGCACCCTCCTACACCAGCTGCAAGCTCTGGGCCCCAAAAGTCAGACCGAGCACAGGAAAGGCAGCACAGCAGTGCCACGGGGCAGTGGCACACACACAGTGCTTCACTGCACAGGCAGTGTACTCACTGTCTTCCTCCCCCAGACCTGAAGCACAACCTTCAGCCTCAGCCTTGAGGCAACGGCCAGTGAAGCGGGGAGGGGAAGAGTATCTCTCCCATACTTCTTTGCTTTCCTACAGGACCCCTCACTTTGTGCATGAGCTCTTGTCCACCCACTTGCAGTAGCCGGGGAAGAAGAGATGCCCCAGGCGAGGTCTCCATCCCTAGGGTGGCAGCGACAGTGCCGTGTAGTACTCAGGAGGGCCACTGGAGGTCTGTGTGCATTTGCTTTCTCCTGCTCACTGCACAGCGCTGCACGGTGTGGGATAAACCCCACTCGTATAGAATAACAATATTCTGAGTTGGAAGGTACCCACAAGGATCATCGAGTCCAGCTCTTAAGTGAGTTGCCCACATGGGGATCAAACCCACAACCTTGGTACTATCAGCACCAGGCTTTAACCAACTGAGCTAATCTCAGGGTCCTGCCTTGGCCTGGCCAGCACAGAACATCCACCTTCCTGGGCCAGCCCGGGTACCCATGGGGTGGCTCTGCTGCCCTCTGAACATCCCAGGGCAGCCTCAGCCAAACAACCTTTGGCTCCGTTGTGGGGCAAAACTCCAAGAGCAAAACCCGAATATGGGGAGGGTTAGCTCGTCTGACTCCTCTCTGCCCAGGAGGCACCTCCTGCAGCTGAAACCTCACCATCTCTCTGTTGAGCAAGGAGCTGCTTGTGTATCACCCAAGTTTGGAGTGAATTCATCCTCAGGACAGACCAGCATAAAGCTGTCTACCTTCAGGATGTGGAACCTCCTTCCTTTCCATGGCTGGCTGGGATCATTGATGGGGCAATGTCGGGATTCTCACTATAAGGCTCATTTTTTTCAGAGTGGCAGGTTCCTGCTCTCTCAAGACACCTCCTGTCATCCAGTCCCTGCCCCTCTACTCTTGCACCTCTTTCCTGTATCCCCATCATTGCTTCCCTGGCCCCTGCTGCATCCGTTTCCCTCCCTTTGTTTTTAATCAAGTTCAAACTTGCTTGTGAGCTGTAGGATAATGGCATGAGTGTGTATTTGCACAGCAGTTTCACTCTGGGAGGGTGCTCACCCACTGTCTCAGCTGGACAAACAGACACGCACAACGCAGGCTGTCTGACACGGAGGCAGCAGTTCAGGACCAACAATGAGGATGCAGGATCACAGGTAGCTCAAGGGTGGCTCACACCAGCTGTGTTTCAGCCCAGTTTTATCCATCCACAATGGCAGGATGGATTCTTCCCTGCTCTGGCTTCTGAAGGGTGCCAGGCTGTGTTCATTGCTCTGGGCTGTGATGCCATGGGATGTCACTGCATTTTTTTGAATTTGCCCAGTGCAATCAACACAGCAACATCACCATTATGAAAATTTCACCACAGCTTTCAAACTTCACAAGTTTTTAGGACTTCAGTTTATTAAAGGAAACATGGCACCCCAGGATCACAGCATCCTCCACTACCATGTGGTGGCCCTGCCACCTCAGAGGAGAAAGTCAAACCTCCCCTTTCAGTTTCAGAACAGAATGAAAACTGAAAGGACCAATCACTCCTTCACTCTTCAGAGCCTGGACATTGTGAGTCAGCTGCCTTTGGTGCTTGGCAGCTGCCAGGGCTGTTGCTTCTGGGAGCTGCCACCACACTTTCATGTCTGACCCACACTCAGAACCCAAGCGTTTCCACTCAGAGGTTACAGGGCTGAAGGTCTCATTTTGGACATACCCCTGTGATGCTCCTTACCTATAATCACACCACATACACCACTCTGCTCTGGCCAGGAGCTCCAGATGACAGTGGTGGACCTCTCTATGAGGGGAGAGCAGAGCTAAAGTAAGCAGCAGTCACAGGAGCCTCACTGTCTGCTTTGCAAGGAGTCAGACAAAACCTTAATATGGCTTTCTTTAACTGAGCTTTGGAAACCTGCTGCCATGTTACATATCCACCAGCTAGTTCTCAGTTTAGGCTGCGCAAGAGATAACTGAAATTCAGCTGGGCTGTGGTGGACTGCATGCTCTGGATGGAAGGAAAGAAAGCAGCAAAGGCACCACAGGAGCTGAGAGGGTTCAGAGGTAAGGGATGTGCAAGGATGAAAGGCTGGGCTGAGGAGGGAGGAGGCACAAGGATGGCATAGGGAAAAGGATGGCCAGGCCCAGGAAAGGAGTAGCATTGCCATTTTTCACAAGCATTTTATCTTGGAAGATCAAGAAGATATTAAACGATGGGCTTTTTCAAGTGGCAGCAACAAAAAACGCACATGGCTTTCCTGAAAATGTGAACCCCACCGTTCTTGGCTTATGAAGAAGAAATACACTGCACTTGCCATGTTTCCAGCAAAATCAAAGCAGCACACACAGAGAAAACCAAATTGGGCTTCTCAGTAGACTCCAGGCTGAAGCTTTGTCTACCCTAGGAAAACAGGCACTTCTGGTTCTCCAGGCAGGTCTTCATCTGATACTGGAAACAAATGATGTGGGACTGTGTCCTGTTCCAGTGGGTCTGTCCTTCTGCCCCACCTGTGAGCTTTGGGGGTGAAACATTCCTTGAGCAGATGTTCAGAGGGCATGGATCACATCTGAGGGCTGCTGCCTGCGGCCAGGTCAGAGTCTGCCCCCAACTCCTGGAAAACCCCTTTGCAGACCCTAGCTGACAATGCCCAGCACCTCTCCCCATGTTCACACTGTCCCTGAGGAGGATGCTGAGCTCCTGGATCTCTGTGCAGAAGAAGACAAAGCATCAGGAAGCTGTGGGAAGTGCGATTTTAAGAGCTTAAGGCCTCTCAGACAGCAAAGGAGGGGGGTGAGTCAGATGCCTCTCTCTTCCATAGGCTTTGCTGCTCCAGAAAAAGCCCAGGTCTCTATGGCATCCAGAGCTAGTGTCCCCTCACCCCAGTACAGAGGGAAGGGAACCTGGGGCCTGCGCCTTGCAGCACTGGGGCCTGGAGGCATCACTGAGTAGGAAAACTGGAAATACCTGAAAATTTGCCTCAGCTCCTTGCTGGAAGGCATTATGCAAGGAAAGAAAAATCCCAGCCTGGATCAAGTGCTGGAAAAACCAGTGTAAAATCAGCTCTGACATGAGCCCAACCCACATAGGGGATGATCTATATTGCCTGCCCTAAGGCTACATGTACATTGCTGCTGGAGTTGGGTCACTTGCTGGCCCTTGCAAGCAGTTACAGGGCAGCCTTGCAGGCCAAGCTAAAAACTTTCTGCTCAGAAGCAGAACTGACTCTCAAATAAAGCCAGAAAAACTTCAAGTAACCTTGTCACATCTTTTCCTGCCTTGTCATTGCAGACCTCATCTTGGGCCAGGGCATTCAGTAGCTGCAATTCAAAGTTTTTCTCTCTGTGGTTGGTTTGACATCTAATTTTCTTCACTTTGCTACAGAATATCCTCATCCCTTCTCTGCTCCAATTTTCTTTCTGCTTTCCTCCTTTTACCTCCCCTTGGTCCTTTTCAAACTCCTTCCCCCCTGCCTGCTGCCAGGCTGCAGTGCCTGCCACGCAGAGGGTAAATAAGATACTGCTCATCCAAGTCCCATCAGCCTCCTTACAACATCATAAAGCTACAGGCATACTTTAGTGATCGTTAGTTAAAACAATCATTGTTTAAAACACCAGCAAAATAGCTGTTGGTCAAAAGTACAGTCATTAACTTCATGTTCTCCTCTTCTTCCTTAACAAAGATGGATACACATTGACAGAGTTGTTTATGACGCAGCAGATTTTGTAACAGCATTACCCTGCTGACCCAAGCAGGTAGCCAAAATTCAGGTGGCTGGAAGTTATTTACAGCAAGAGAAGGAACTGACTGGGGAGACAGGTCATTTTCCAAAGCAGTGTTGCTAATTTACAAAGAAGGTGCGAAGTCCTGCACTGAAAACCCCAAGAAATGAGCTCACACCACCTGTGTTATTCCCACACGCACAAGAGCTCTCATGCTCTCAGCTTTTCTCAGGGCATGTGTAGTCCTGGTCCTTCCTTCATGGCACTGTGGTCCCAAGACAGCCCCTGGGCAGCCTCTCCCATACATCACAGAGCTGTGCTCTGCTTTCACAGCACTGTCTCCTGCAGCTAATTGAGGTGAAAGTCTCTGGTAAAATCTGGAAAGAAAACCCAACGTTTTTTAATCTAAGTTTGCAACAAAAATATTTTCAGGAAGAAAGACATGTTGTCTCCACAGGACATCATACCCAGTGTCAGGTACCTTAGCTGAAGATGTTTTAAATCTCCACAGAATCATAGAATCACAGAATGGTTTGGATTGGAAGGAGCCTTAAAGATCATCCATTTCCAATTCCCCTGCCAGGGGCAGGGACACCTTCCACTAGACCAGGTTGCTCAGAGCCCCATCCAGCCTGGCCTTGAAGACTTCCTTGTTTGAAAGTATTTCTCATAGCTGCACTGAGATGCTCTAGATACATCTCTTAATAATTGCTACACAGCTGCTTAATGCTGCTTTGATGTAGAGTGGGGTTTCTTCAACATAGATGTTATTGTACATTAAACATACACGAAAGTTCCAGAATCCCCATTCGGCAGAGGATAAAGCCAGCTGTGGGCGTGCACACTGTTTGGGAAACATTTGTATTTAATTCACAACCCACAAAATTCTTTCAACCCAAAAAAAGTTGTAGGAAGAGATTAATCTTCAGATATCCCCTGGGGAGACTTCCACAGCCAAACTAGTCACCCTGAACTCCCTTTACATACAAACCCAAGTTTCAGCTTTTAGCGTATGATTCATTCAATCTATTTTAGAGGTTCATGTTGGGTTGTAAGGTTCTGTAACTCCAAAGAGGCCTGTTTTCCCTCTTTGCTCTGCCCAAAACAGAGGCCAGCCAGCTCCAATGCCAGCAGAGATCTGTATGTGACAACAGATCCCACCTCCGGCCCTGGTTACCAATTCATGGATTTTTACCAGTTGGAAATAATTCGGCATGTCAGGTTTTGTAGTGACTTATTCCCGTCACCCAGACAGGCAGGGAAGGAGGGAGCCTTCATCACTGCTGTGATGGGTCACAGTGTGGCAGGACTGGGGAAACCAGGATGTGTGTGTGGTTACTGCAACACCGCTCTCATGGCACAGGGGCCACTGCCAGTGTCGGTTCCTGAGCAGAAGATTCATGAATCCTCAGCCTTGGGGGGGTCTGTGCATCAGGAAGGTGGCCAGCAACACACTCTCAGGGGGAAAACAGCATCCCTAAGAGAAGGTGCTGCAGAGCTGCTGCAGTCAGAGGGAGCGAAGTGAGAGCAAATCCTA